ATCATAAGATTGCACTTATCAGGGAACTTATCTATCTTATCTATCCGTTCCTTACTAAGGGTAGTCTGGGCCACAGATGGAACAAAACTTCAGGTTAAGTCCATCTGCGAAACAGCCCTGCATTCCTCATTCTGGGCTCCCCTTGAACCTGTGTACCAGGATTTGAGTACACGCCATGATTGGCCTGTTAATTTGCCAATCAGGTTGAATGCATTTCCAGTAATTCACTAAGTCTTCTCGGGGCCCAGAACAAGGAGATCCAAGCTGCTTTGCAGATGTTACTAATCAGGGTTAGATTACATCCATGACGCAGGCCAGACTAAGGAAGGTAGCATGGCTGACTGGTTAGAGTGCTTGCAATCAAGAAGCACTGAGTAATTAAAGTCCTGCCCTGACTGCTAACTAGATTTGTTCTCGGTAAACTTTAGACCTAGGTCACGCTTGTAAATAGTCAACTATTTTGCCTCCAGTCAGTTGGGATTCTCTGACTTAATAATGTTTTTTCCAATATTATTTGTTTCATTATCCTGAAAAGCCCCTTACAGGGAGAGGATTACGTATTATCATTATTCATTCAAAATATTTCCCCGTTATCCATCAAGGCCATATAACACCCTCCTTGATCTCCATAATTCTTCATACAATATTCAGCCTCATTCATTAATTGTTAAATAAGTAATGGTAACAAGACTTAGTGGAGTCCAATTCGGTCTGTAATCATACGAGTGATTAACAAAATCGGACGACCGCGTATGATTTCAGACCGAATTGGACTCCACTCATTCCTGTTACCAATATTTATTAATCATAACTTTAGCAAAATTTTGTGATACGTAAGGTTCTTTTTTTAAATCAAAACAAAAAAAATGGTAAGATTTTTTTTGCTAGCAGTAAAAACAACCCATTTAAGCACGCGCAACATGACGCGTAGTGTCCTATTAAGGCTGAAATCAGGGCAGTTGATAGCCAGTCAGATTTTAGAACTTTGTTGTAGTTATGATTATGATAATAATCATAACTATAATAAAATTCTCAAATCTGATTGGCTATCAACTGCCCTGATTTCAGCGGTAATTGGACAGTTTGATAGGACAGTACCCGTCATGCCTAAGTAATTGGACAGTACGCGCCATCACTCACGCGCTCAAATGGCTTTTTTTTTCACTGCTAGCAAAACAAAATTTCGAATTTCTTGTGTTTTGATTTAAAAAATAGCCTATTATATCACAAATTTTGTTAAAGTTATAGAGTGCGGGCTCAGGTTCTTCGTACCGCGTGTTTTTTGTAACTTTGTCCCCCTAATGTTCTTACAGGGCCCCTATTTCTCAGAAGAGGGGGCCCTGGGACTCCCCAAGGCAAAATCCTGGTGAGAACACTGCAGAATCATAGTCTATTACTGCTCTGGTCAAAGACAAACAAAAATTCCATATTGGGTTGGCAGAGTTTTGTGACAAGCCATATTGGATAGCAAAGAATTGGATTTCATACGACAGCAAAAGACAGGAATAAAGACTTTATAATAAAAATTTTAAGATTTAATATTAACAAAACTTTATTAAGAAAACTGGAAATAAAAAGTAAGTACATGTCTAGAACATTTAAATTATCAACATTCACGACTGCTTGGTTCTTAGCTAATCACAGGATTGCACTTATCAGCGAACTTATCTATCTTATCTATCCGTTCCTTACTAAGGGTAGTCTGGGCCACAGATGGAACAAAACTTCTGGTTAAGTCCATCTGCGAAACAGCCCTGCATTCCTCATTCTGGGCCCCCCTTGAACCTGTGTACCAGGATTTGAGTACACGCCATGATTGGCCTGTTAAAAAAGCCATTGTTAATTTGCCAATCAGGTTGAATGCATTTCCAGTAATTTACTAAGTCTTCTCAGGGCCCAGAACAAGGACATCCAAGCTGCTTCGCAGATGTTACTAACCAGGGTTAGATTACATCCATGACGCAGGCCAGACTAAGGAAGGAAGCATGGCTGACTGGTTAGAGTGCTTGCAATCAAGAAGCACTGAGTTATTAAAGTCCTGCCCTGACTGCTAACTAGATTTGTTCTCGGTAAACTTAAGACCCAGGTCACGCTTGTAAATAGTCAACTACTTTGCCTCCAGTCAGTTGGGATTCTCTGACTTAATAATGTTTTTTTCCAATATTATTTGACCAAATTTGGAAGAATTTTGTGTTTAACAAGGAAATGGCGTCAAAAATGCAGCCTTCTACAGGTTAAGGCACCGTTAACTGAGAAGACCTGGGGATGAGGTTGAGTTGTTTTGGTTGTGGAAGCAAAAATGGCGGACATTTTACTCATTTCAAGAGTAAGAACTAGGCAAAACATAGCAAGAACAGCAAGAGGACAACTCGAAGGGCGACATCTGCTATTTGGAGAATATTTGCAAAGCTGAACAACCCTAAACGTGCACTATCGAAGATGAACTTAACATCGATGGATCAATGGAGGTAAGCATGTTTTAGCTCTGTTTTTAAACTAGGAATTATTTTGAATGAATAATAAAACAATTATTGAATTTGGCTTTCGTATCATATGAAGAATTATGGAGATTTTGGAGGGTGTTATCCATCAAGGCCATATAACACCCTCCTTGATCTCCATAATTCTTCATACGATATTCAGCCTCATTCATTAATTGTTAAATAAGTAATGGTAACAAGACTGAGTGGAGTCCAATTCGGTCTGTAATCATACGAGTGATTAACAAAATCGGACGACCGCGTATGATTTCGGACCGAATTGGACTCCACTCATTCCTGTTACCAATATTTATTAATCATAACTTTAGCAAAGTTTTGTGATATGTAAGGTTCTTTTTTTAAATCAAAACACAAAAAATTCTAAGATTTTTTTTGCTAACAGTAAAAAAAAGCCATTTAAGCAAGCGCAACATGACGCGTAGTGTCCTATTAAGGCTGAAATCAGGGCAGTTGATAGCTAGTCAGATTTTAGAACTTTGTTGTATGTAGTTATGGTTATGATAATAATCATAACTATAACAAAATTCTCAAATCTGATTGGCGATCAACTGCCTTGATTTCAGCGGTAATTGGACAGTTTGATAGGACAGTACGCATCATGCCTAAGTAATTGGACAGTACGCCCCATCACGCACGCGCTTAAATTGCTTTTTTTTTTTCACTGCTAGCAAAACAAAGTTTTGAATTTCTTGTGCTTTGATTTAAAAAATAGCTTATTATATCACAAATTTTGTTAAAGTTATGGTTAATTGGTAACAGAACTTCGTGTCGTCCAATTCGGTCTGTGATCATACTAGTGATTAAACAAATCGGACTCCCACTACGCGGTTGTCCGATTTTGTTAATCACTCGTATGATTACAGACCGAATTGGACTCCACTCAGTCCTGTTACTATTACTAATAAGCAATTATTGGATGAGGTTTTTGTGATATCCTGAATAATCAAGGTCGAGGTAAGTGTCATCAGCCGAGCTGAAGCTGAGGCTGATAACACTCACCAAGACCTTGATTATTCAGGATATCACGAAGAACATACCTAATAATTGTTTTATTATACATTGTTTTGAAGAAAATAACGACAAACACACCGTCACAAGGAACCTGAATTGATATTGCTATTGGAAATCATGCATTGCCCGCATAACCTACAGATTAGTCATTTATCTGCTAGCAGATAACTAACTAATCTGTAGGTTGCACTGATTTCCAAAATTAGCTGTAGGCTCTTAGCCAATGAGGAGACAGATAGTGAGTACAATGTATAATAATTATTGTTATTCTTTACAGACAGGATATTTAAGAAAGTTCTTGAGGCAAAGTCAGGTTACACCATCAAAAATGTATATGACTACATACAGTGTATTAACAAAGTTTTATGACTCTAGTTGTTTTAATGCAAACTTAACTTACTTTGATTAATATAACATCAGGTACAATTTCTAAAATGAATGTTACTAAGGTCGTATAAGGAGTAAAAGGTGTATGGCCAGCACCTCGGTCTGTTTGAGGAGCACAAGGGACTGATGCCTTTTAAGCGAAAGGAATTTCGAGGCTTCAGTTGTCTACAAATGAGCGAGCATCGCGATCAGACAAACTAACCAATGAGCAACAGGGAACTACATCATGAATCATGTGTAATATTAGATTTATTGCTCTTACTTTAGTGTGAACAGTGAATTTCACCCTGTCCCTTTCGCTTAATGCATCGGAGATATCCACCATAAGCGAGGTATCGGTGTTTAAATCCACTGATTGGGTACGCGTCTGAAATCGAAAGGCAAACAGTCAGATCAATCACAACAAAATTATCCTCCGTCCATCCCCACAAGGGCACAGACTGAAGATCAAAAGTGCCCATTCAACTACTCACTTTCTCATCTTCCAACATGTCTGCGGTGTCCGTCGCGTCCTGAAAAGAGTATTAAACAAACAAAAACGTTATTTTTCGTGAACTGATTAAAAATTCCGCAATTTTCAGCTGTTCTGTCGCTAATCAACTCACCATCATGGTTGGCACCTTGAGCTCCGCTTGTTGAACCTCTGCGTCACGTGATTGAACTGGGTGACAAAGACCCCTCTCCTTACCCTATATAGGTCAGTTAAGTTGTTCCAGGAAATATACTATTGAAAGTTTTGTAATCTTTCAAAAGTAAGCAATTGAAATTATATAATACAGTATAATAACACTGTTATTAAAAGAAAAACCATCCATCGCAAAAATCCCCGAAGTTGGATACAAATCCTCGAGGAGGGGTATCGATCACATTTGTTGTTCCTACACCAACCAGTCCCTGACATCCGATAGTAACTACGTTTTTTACTCTTTCCAGATAAAAAATAACGTCATACAAACCTTGAAAATTATAGAAAATGTCAGAAAGTGTAAAATGCGACAAACAGGTTGAACAGGTCGCCTTTCCCTACTCTCCCAAGGAAATTATTGATCAATAGTATCCCAGAATGCTTCGCGAGAATCTTCTTGGTTACAAGAGAAAAACATGGCGGACGGCAGCTCAACTGAAGGTTTGACCTATTTTTCACTATATTTAATTTATGTTATGTATCGATCCTTTGTTGTAATAGACTAATTATTATAAACTATTACTTTTTTGCCAGCTCCTCAAGAGCAGGTTTCATTGCTTCCTCCAGAGGAAAATAGCCAAAGCCAACCCGCCGAGGTTAGAAAGTCTGCATGCAAAGGCCTGTCAATTAATCTTTACTTTAATTTCATGTTTAAGGCTTTGTGCCTGTAGCACAAGTACTATATAGAAGCCAGATCTTGAGTCTTTTTCAAAAAACGTAGCGAAGAACTTATTACCTTTTTTATTTTTTACTTTATTTACAATTCTGAAATAAGGGATTTTTGGTGTAAGACATTTAGAGGACTGTTGCAGCTTACTTATTCAGTCTCCTTGTAGGTCCATTTTTAAGGGAAGAGGCTTTAAACGACTCCTGTCTAGTGTTCCCCTTGGTTCATAACAAGTTCGCCTTGCACACATACTTTACCTCTAATTTGAAAATCGCAGTCACCTGACAATCCTCAGGCATCCTTTCAATTCATAAATCTTTTTATGTTAATTACAGGCTCCGCAGGAAACATCTCCTCATGCTGAAATTGGATTGACAGAAAATGTGCAGGTAACTAGTGGTTAACGATTGTGCTGGGAAGGTCTGAGGTTTGGTTGTTGTTAATGAATTTTGCATCACAGCAGAGAAGAGCTTGTGTGGCTCATGACCCATTCTGCATATCTTGGCAGAATTCGACAAGATCTTTTGCATTAAATGCATGCGCATCACATGCAAACTAAACTGCTGGATTGCAAACAGTGATACAGTGTATTCTCTTTTAATGGACACCTCTATGAGATGGACACCTAGAGTCTGTCCCTTCCTTTCCTTACTCCTATTATTTGACACCACTCTTGGACGGACACTTAGTGCAGGTCCCAAAGATGTCCGACTAAGAGAGAGTTGACAATACTCACGCTGACGTCACCTATCGATATTAATATGCCAACAGAAGGGCATTAGTTCTTGAAACAAAAGGTTCTTTTGTTTCACTCATGACGAATTTGAGTAACCAAAACACTGTTTGTAAACAGTGAAGTTTCCTATACATTCTAAGCTAGTTTCATAATGTCATCCTATTTGCAACTTTAAAAACAAGAACAGAACTGTAGCCAATAATTTGTCTAGCACTTGTTTCTGGTACCATTACTGGGGAGACACTGGTCAGCTATTAGTCCCTGTAGTGGACCGGAAGTCGTTCTACATATTGCAAGATTATTATGGGATGAAGTAGAACAGGAGGACAAAATATGTATGTGGTGCGTAAGGCAGATTAAAAGCATGTTGAGTTGTTGACTTGTCCTATATTCTGAGACAAGACCATTATGGTCCCTAGCTGAACAGTCCCAGAAAAGATAGGCACTGCAAATGTGTACTTTTATTGGAAAGTTTAAACTATAAACATCATTTCCTGGTCATTTCATGGCTCTTGAAGAAATGAAAGTAGCTGGTGAAACCTTGCATAGAAGCCAGTGAAGTTCGCCAGCTTCCGGCTCTTATATACAACGTTGCCTTGTAGAAAAAGTAAATCCTTGCAAAGAATAGTGAAATCCACAAAGCCAGTTTTCAACTGTACATGTTTTTTTTTGTGTGTGTGTTTTTCTCCGGCCTGTTTGACTGAATCATTCTTGGTTATGGTTTGAAAGGGGTCATCCTGCTGTACCAGTTAGATGTCAAAGTTGTCTACAGCTGTCAAAATGAATGACATTACAAGTGGTACAAGGAGGTGTTCATGGGTGAATGGGTTAATGAGTGAAGTGCATAGGAGATGTGCTCAAGGAAAATTTGAAGGAGCTGGCTCCTTCTTCAAGGTAGTATGCTTGTCTCCTGCAGCTGATCCATGAAGGTGCACAGAGGATAATAGTTTACTGGTGATAAGTTAGCCATAGTCTAGCCTGGATAGCAGGCGCCGTGGTGTTTTTTTAGGGCAAAAAGGAGAAATATCGAGGGCAGGCACATGCAAGGGGAGAAACAATATATAACCCAAAAAACTAACCAGCCTTTGCCTTGCAGGCTAGCTATAGTCCTGCAAATGACTTTTGCATTTCATCCAGGAAGAGAAGTAATATTTCTAGGGTCTTACAATACTGAAGCTGGGATGACCTCTGGATTGCAAGCCTTTTGTAAATGCTTTTGTTAAGGGCTGCAGGCCAGACATTTTGCCTGACTATTAGAAATGTGAGGCATGGCTTCACAACTGGTAGAAGCAATCTGTGGATGATACAAGGAAATGCCAAAGCCACTGGCTACTCATTCCACTTCCTTGTCTTCTCCTCAAACGTAGTGACAGTTCTGGTCACCTTAGTTCCAAAATTAATACTATTATTTCTTTTTACATTCACCCAAAGAAAATGGTGGAAAAAGAGAAAGAAGCAGCTGAAAAGCCAACCAAACCAAAAGTAGAGCTGCAGTCTTTGCCAACAAGAGCATATCTGGACCAGACAGTGGTACCCATTCTACTTCAAGGCCTCTCCTCCTTGTCCAAGGACAGGTAAACTATCTTTTGACTTTTGTCAAAAGTGGCTTTCCAAACTGGTTACTTCGAAAATGACATGCCAGGCTCTTATGCAGGTGTTTTTACTATTAAATGCAGGTATCAATGTTTAGACGGAGAGGGGGTACGGGCATAGGTGTGGTAACTCTTCCTTTGTCCCCTCTCTGGGGATTTTGACCACAAATGTTGACTTATACAGCAGTTTTGGTATTCCCAGAAAGGGATATTTTATTTCTCTCTTAAGGGTTGGGAATTCAACCAAAAAATTGTAAAAAAAAAAAATTCAAATGCTCCACCTATGCCCTTCCCTCCCCCCCCACCCCCTCTGTCCAAACATTGAACATTACCTGCATTAGAACCCTGTCAGTGATGTGTGCAAACTATTTAACAATTATTCCTTGAGCCCGAATGGGCTCTGAGTCAATAGGCTAAAGACCGAATGGGCTATTGACTCAGAAGCCATGAGGGGGAGAGGAATAATATTGTTTTAGTAAAATCTAACAAGTTGGTCAAAAATATCAAGACAAAACAACTTTAGCTAGCAAAAAACACAATTCAGCCGCCATTGTTTTGGTTTTCAAAGCTGACGCTTTTTGCTGGTAGTGGGCTATAATGTATAGCCTAGTAGTAGCTCAACCAATCAGGGTGCAGCGTTGATAACAGACCACTAGTTGCATTTTACTAAATAGGAATAGACTGACCTGGCTGAGCAGTCCCAATATTAATGATTATTTTTTTTATAATGGTAGAATTTTCTTTCTGACTCACTAGTCTAGCCAGCCATTTCTTACTAATGGAAAGTTGTCTTAAAGAAAACTTGTACCAAACCTAACTTACATCCTTTGGGAGAGGACAGGAAGCGCAGAACCAGGACAAAATGAAACCATTTTCAAATGAAAATTGGCTATGAACATGTAGAAGTTTAATACAGACAATTAGGCTTTGTTCGTACTTGTGCTGTAAGGAAAAGAAATAACATAATTTGTTTCAAGGCAAATAATAAGTGGATCAAAAAACAAGAAAAATAAGAACAAAAATAAGAAAAAAAATAAGAAAAAAAACTCCTGTTTTGGCTGTGCGCATTCATGAATTCAAACTGGTGTGAAATAAACGCATGTTAAGCAACCACAAGACACTGACTACTGCACATGCATATGTCACTTGAATTTAACAAACAAGTATCCACACATAAAATAACACCAAAATAAATGTCTGCTATTCTCATTGCTGACAAAATTTGGACTGTGACGTAGGAAATAAGAAACTCCAGTAAATTCCGTTGTGTTGAGTCTGCTCCCTATTGGCATTATGCATTGAGGCCCTTGCTTAGAATTGCTCAGTTTTTGCCCACCTCTTGGCCAGTGCAATGGAGTTTAGTGGAAGTGACTTCAAAGTTTCTTCCCTCCTACCTCCCCTGGTGGCGGTTGACATCGCATACGCTCATTATTCAGCATGCCTATTGTCCTGGCAGTTGCGGTTTACTCCCTTAACTTAGTTCCCCATGACACTGAAATATTATACTAATGAATATTTAAAATTTCCAGTACATTTTTATTTAAGGCGCGGCTCAGTACATCTTTGGATATGATTTTTTTAATAGTCAAATTCTGTAAAGTAATTGTAGAAGTGCAAGAACAAAGCTTTGTTAATTCTACAATGGATAATTTAGATTTTGGTTTGACTTTTAAATTATTTTGTCTCATCAAGTACCTAACAAGGATTTCACTTTTACATTTGTTTTTCAGGCCACCAAATCCCATTGAGTACCTTGCTACCTACTTGCTGAAAAACAAAGATCAGTATGAAGACAGCTAGTCAGTGGCACAGTTCATAATATATTTGTAAATTATTCATGTGGGAAGCAGCATGCCACTTCCTCATTCCCTCTCAGTAGAAAAAAAATTCACAGAGCTAACAATGTGGCAAATGTTTTATGAATTATCAGCAAAGGTGTTGCAATCTCTTTTGAAGCTGAATTCTTTATCATTGTTCTTCTATGAGTCAAGGATCCATCTGAAAGTTTTGCAGTCAAAAAAGTTCAGATGCACAGTAAACTTTTATGTCATTTGTGAGTAAATATTGTCCAGGGGTGAGTGCTTTTTAATGCACAATAATATTGGAGGTTATGATATCAGTTCTATATCTTTCACAGTTCATTCGTTTTTCATAGTTAACTATTGTGAAACTTTTGATAGCCTGTCTTCCTCACTTTGGAATCTCTCTATGTATGTAACATTTCACAAAAGTGTTGGAATAAAGAAGCTTGTAATCCAGTGATAAACCTTTTTCAACATCTTCATGTGACCTTTTCCCGCCATTGAGCCATGACTGCACCAGACTTTCAATCAAGGCAACTTTTTTTTAAAAAAAAAAGACAAAAATAGAGTATGGACATTCGACAGAACAAATCTGAGATAACATAGATAAAGCAACTTCATTTAGCGATAAGATGCAGCCCACAAAAAGCGCACAATTTCCCTCCAAGGAAAAATTTTGGGATGTCCCTTTCTTCCAGAGTCTATGGGGAAGATGGCGCTGACATCACAAACCAAATATTCTCGAATCGATGTAGGTTTGTACCAAAAATTCTCACCCCATGGGGCAAAAGACGGAATATATAAAAAACAGGGAACATGAAATCGAGGCAACAATATTACAGAATGCAAAATGCGAAAATTCAAACGAGGCAAGATTTTTACGGAATGAAAAAGACTTAATACAAGAAGCTAACAACATATCAACAGAAATGCAGGAGAAGACCGGGCGTTGAGGGAACACATGGAAGGTCGACACGAATTCAAGAAAACCTAATTGGAGAATTTAAGACCAGAAAATATTCATGAAAAACAAATTAAAAACGTAAAAAAAAAACGAAATAAAAGCTAAAATTGCAAATGGATTTGGAAATTCAGAACAAAATTTTGGAATAATAGCATCAAAATTACAGTGGCCATGAGGTACACTCATCATTACCATGACGACACTTTTTAATGCGACGATAACAACCGATGACGACACAAGTGACATTTCGAGTCCAGGCTTTCACAACTGAACAAAACATGGCGTCGCCGGTTGATCGTCTGACGTCGAACATGTCTATACTTTGATGGTTCTTTATTCCCCTTATGATGCGGTTAATAACGTTTGATGCTTGTAACACACTATTTCGTGTTCGAGGATCACCAGGAGAAGTGTACAGTAACGTGGCCTCTCGGTTTGGGGTCACAGTACAGGATACAGCTCTGAACGAATCCTTCACGCATTCTTTCCGACAATTTTACAAAACAGAGCCAAACTTCGGTGCAAAAACTGAAAAGACTGCAGAAAAATGGTGGTCTAGAGTGGTCAAACAAACCTTTCGATCCGCTGGATTCAACGATGAAAAGATTCTCGCCGGAATTTCCTCGACATTGTACCGAGAATTCTCCACTGCTTCACTCTGGGAGGTTTATCCCGAAACATTCGATGTTTTGGAACATCTTAAGAATAGAAACTATCGTCTTGCCGTCATTTCAAACTTTGACGAACGCCTCGATGTCATACTAGAGAAACTTGACTTGAAAAATTACTTTGATTTCATCGCTTGTTCGTTTGATGTTGGAATATGCAAGCCATCCCCCGGTATATTTGAGTTAGTACTGTCTCACTTTGGTGTAAAGCCCGAAGAAACTCTTCATGTGGGCGACAATGTCCAACTTGATTACAAACCAGCCGTAAAGTTGGGGTTGAAATCTTTAATTGTTGACCGCCTTTGCAGGGATTTTAGTGAAGATCACGTTGATCCCAAGCATGTAATAAGAGATCTCATCCCACTACTAGAACTTTGAAAAACGTTGTGGTCATAGTCATTCTTCTGCCTTCAGTTTCATCCATTTCTCCATGTCTAATCACATTTCTGTTCATGTTCGTAGACAAGTTCAGCAATAATGTTATAGCTGTCAACACAGCAATGATATTATTCTACACTGTACATTAACAAACTTTTCCTCTCTGGAAACTGTTTAAGACTATAATAATTTGTTTATATCTTTTACATGTGCGTGGAATCCATAAACACATAAACCGGGTACATTTACAAACTTTCAAGGACTGTTGTTGATATTTACAGTATGTGAGTCCCAAGCTAACAGATCAAGACAGAAACTATTATTTGGTTCGGGGGCACCCAACGAGAATATAGTTCAAAACCACTTAAACATAGCATTCTTAAACGTATTTTAGTATTTAAACGGCAGATATAGGCATAATTTTAACCCCTAAAAAATTTTCATCTGTTCGGATTTCCTAGCTGTAAGTCTAGTGAAAACTTACTTTTTCGAAAATTTCAGCCAGAAAAAAGGCTTCCGAAAATTCTAGGTGACCTTTTAAGGTTAAAAATCTGTTAAAAATGGGCAATTATACCATTTATAAGCTGTTCGAAAATCCTAGGAGAGGCAGGCAACAAGAAATTTAAGACAAATGTTCCGAAAATTCTAGATCTCAAATTGTCTTCCGAAGAGATATTTTTGGAAAATTGATGTTGGGTGCCCCTGTTTGGTTCCAAGCCTCTAGCTAGCATTCACCAACAGGATCATTAACTGGGACGACCAGAACTAAACCTGTGCAGGAGCCTGAACAGTAAAAAAATTGTAAATTGTTCTCCCATGAAGCACTGAGGAGTTCTTAAAAACTCAGTTGAATGTGTCAGTGTATTCCAGATTAAATTGGAATTACTAAGAGGTGTTGGTTTTCACTCAGGAAAGATTAGATTGGTCGCATTATGGATGCAGTTACATATCGACAAGCTAAATGATGCATCTGGGGAAGACACGATTGAGACCGGATGTTCCACAAAACTTTTTGCTCTGTGTCTGTATAACGGGAAAATGATATTTTCTTTAAAAATTGGCAGTTTCTTGGTGTTGCTGAAGGGTACAAATCCCCACAAACTGATGTAAATGCAAAAGATTGAAAAAAACTGAATAATCATACCCACACCACAAAAGCGAACAACACAAAAAAAAACTAATAGAAAGAAACACCCAAAAATTTGTATGATAGTAAAAGTGTCCAAAATCAGGACCTTTCTGTTTTGAAAATATAACTATACTATCATATATATTTACCATGAAAACTATGTACAACATAACCAACCAGTAAATACTACTTTGGACAAAAATTATGATCCAGATACACACAAACATGACAAATGAGAAATAACTATTGGTGGGTCTTAAAGTGTTCGTAAGTCTTGTTCATGCCAAGCAAATTGACAGACAAATGGATGATTCTAGTGGACATGTCTTCATGTCTCCAGAATAAAAAGACCATAACTTTTTTGTTAATACGGTCACCTCTCTCTTAACGGACACCTCTATAAGATGGACACCTACAGTTGGTCCCTGCCTTTTCTTATTCCCTTTATTTGACTCTTTATAAGACCACCATCTATCTAAGACGGACACTTAGTTCCAGTCTCAAAGGTTTCCATCTTGGAGAGAGTTGACTGTAAATTATCCTACAGGAACTCATCTTTCAATTTCACGAATTTCCCCATCACCCAAGATGGCCCAGACAGAGACAGAAAGAACAACCACTCTAATAATTCCAAGTCATTAACTTATTGTTATGGGTGACACACTTTCTTTCACTACTTTTCTCTGCCCCACATCAACCTTCTACTTCTATGGTCTACCCTAAACTTAACCTTGGCAGTTATTTCTGACTTTTATTTTTCTTTTTATTATTACAGTATTTTTGTCTTATATTTCTGATCTTTAAATTATCAGAATGATGATGATGTTATTTCCCAACACTCTAGACACACAGCATAATAATGTTATGAAGAGTTGCTGGGTTCAAGATAACATTACAACCAATCAAAACCAATCAACCAACCAATCTCCACCAATCCACCAATCACAATTCTAGAAAATTACCCGCCCTAGTCCCTCTCCTCATTTCCTGCGGGAACGTATCTTTGTCAACGTTAAAAATCAATGAGTGATCATGTCTAATCATTCGAGTTTTTTTGCAAGCTTTTCTTCCCCAAATTCGTCATGGTATCGGGAAAAAAGAGAAGAACAGTGGAGCCCAAGAAGCCAAGAAAGTGACCACGAACCGAGCTTTGATTCTGACGAAGGAAACCAGGAGTCAAAAGCAATCACCATTTATAGTGATTCAAGCTCAGGATTGAGTTCTCTTGAGTCATCTCCTCTTGTTCCGTGGCCTGAAAACTCTTCCTATTTAAGTTCATCGTCGTCTAAAAGCTTGGTTTTGCATCCTAGAGGTAACAGTTTGACTCAGGAAGGCACTTTGATGGCACAATGCGAAGCTACTAGCCTTCGCGTATCAACTTCCCTCGTGATTGGGAAGCGCCCTCGTGCTCTTGGTCTTAAAGACGTTGATCTGTCTAAAAACGTTATGGCAAGACATATTCGAGAAGCAAAAGAAGCAAATAAAAGCCCCAAGAAGAGTAATTTCCGTAGTCCTTTATCAAGGCATATGTCTTGCCCCATTTTCAGTTGTACCAATGACACCTTTATGGGTCTGTCTGACAGACATGGTGTTCCTGGAAAAACTGGTCAAATCGGTGAGAACCGAGATTTGAACTTTGTCAGCACTGTGCACCGTAACTCACCAGCAAATACTTTTTCGACTCCAGCATCAGCTGGGAAAGTGAGATTGTTTAGCTGCCCTGATGATCAACCCAACTTTGACCAACGGCGCGATACCCGTCATCAGGGCTGGCATGATGAGCTTGACCCACAGAAAATGTCAAGTGATGGAACAGATAGAAATTTCACACCAAAAGTCATTGAAGTCATTGACTTGACTTCAGGCGAAGCGACTTCAACTGGCAGAATAACAAATTATAGCGACAAGGCAACTTACAAAGATAGCTGTCAGAAAGATGAGAGTATCATGGCACAAACAGCAGCCAGCCAGAATCATTCACCTTTCAAGAGGAAAGTTTCAAACAAAAAATCTGTGTTAACTTTTAGTGATGATGAGGACAGTGACTCAAAGAAGCAAGATCAGGTTCATTTTTCATTGAAGAAACATGTTTCAAGGAAAAGGTCTGTGCTATCATTCAGTGATGATGAAGAAGACAGCGATTCAGCAGGACAAAAAAGTGTTGAAGTAACTGGGGAAAAATCACAACAGGTTATTCAAGCTGGTGAGGAAGTTTCGCTCAAGAGTAATTGTTATAAGAGATACATGAAAATGGGCGTACTTTTTGCATTATTCGTATTGTTGTTATCAATTTACTTGCACAAAAATCCTCATGGCTTTTGCCTAGATAGTGAATTTAGCAAGAATATTTCAGGGATTGGCCTAGCTCTCAAGGCTGAAGTATACGGTCAACACATTGCCCAGAAGGTGGTGACCTCAGCCCTGAAGAATCACTTTGCCAAACACAATGCAAGAAAGCCCCTAGTACTCTCCTTCCATGGATGGACTGGAGTTGGAAAAAACTTCGTTACCAACATAATCACAGAGCATTTCTTCAAGCACAAGACCCACAGCTCATTCGTTCATAAGTTTATTGTTCCTGTTCATTTCCCGCATGATTCTGAGATTGACAAGTACAATGAACAGTTGCGCAGTTGGATTCAAGGCAACATATCTCAGTGCAGTAAAGGTGGCTTGTTTATCTTTGACGAAATGGATAAAATTCATCTTGGCATGATGAGTACCATCAAAGATATCATCTTAGGTTACCGTGGTAGGGAAGTCACAGCAGGTTATCAAAACATGGTGTTTATATTCCTGTCCAATTCTGGCGGTCATGCTGTAAATCAGCATGTCTTGAAGCATGCACTTGATGGGAAACTAAGGCAATCTTTGATGCTAAAAGAAATGGAACTTATCTTTCAAGGCATGATCAAACAAACTCCTGATGCATGGTTTTCTGATCTTTTAAAATCAGACGTTATTGATCATTTAGTTCCATTTCTACCATTAGAGAGAACACATGTTAAACAGTGCATAAGAAGAGACTTAATCATGAAAGGATTTCATGTTAGAGAAGCTTTAGTCTCGGAGATTGCGGATCAGATGGAATATTTTCCCGATGGGCATGGATTCTTTTCAGTGTCAGGGTGTAAAAAAGTTTCATCTAGGGTAGATGTAACTGTGGGATAAACTCCACAATGAAGACTTACAATCCGACAGCAACAATATTAGTTAAGACACTTCGCCCTAAAGGGGCTTTCTGATGCTTTACTGCCTTCCAGAGGGGAAAATAAAGCTTTTCCTCCCCCATCCCCTCCATGCAATCTTGTGCCGCTGTTCGAGCTACCTATAGAAAACTACAAACACCCCAACTTTGAGTGAAGATGGGGGGCGAGGTGTGGATTCTTTTGAACTCTGTAGTTACTCTATTTGAGTACAATGTCTCAACAATTTTGTCTCCGATTGTCTGAATCATGAAAGTGGCCATACATCCTAAAGAAAACTAATTATTCAACTCATTTCTTCGCACTGGGATGTAAAACCCTTGTTGCTTTTTTATTTATGATTGGCGTAATCATGCCTATTTTAGAACTCACAAGAGTATGGCGATTTTGTTATTTTCAGTGCACTTAACATGCTGTGACATCATGCAATGTAGCATGTTGCACGTATTTATTTATTTTTTCTTTATCAAAACAAGGAACAAAGTAAAAAGGAAGGAAAACAAAACAGTTTTCTAGGCAACAGAGCAGTTATAAGCAGTGATTGCTAAAATTGCTGTTTAGAAATTCCCAAGAGTAACCAGGATGAGTAAAATATAAAATAATTCGATTATCTTTTAGAACAAAGTTAGTTACCTGTTCCCAATCTCCTCCTAACTTCATAGTTTCTACTGTAAAGTACATTCTTCAAACAATCTGAAGATTCGGTGATAGTGTAACCTGTGTATAGACATCCCCCCTCCCTCCCTGAGGGAGTTCTGAGGGAGGGGGGATGTCTGTACACAGGCTAGTGGTAGTGCCCACTTATCCCAGCTGAGTAGTAGTTCTGCATAAAAAGTAGAAACAATTCGGCATGGGATTTTTGGGGGGTTAATTTTTGGTCCAGGGATTTTGGGGGGATTGGAACTTTGCCCCCATTCGATCATCCCCACCACTTGAAATCCAGAGTACCCCCCTGGGTCCTTTGCCTACTTTGTATCAAGCTCTATACTTTGCTCCTGTTGTCCACAAACATTTAAGAAATCCCCCACTTTATTTTGAGAAATAGTGAATAAAAAAATTCAGTCAAATTCCATTTTTCTATAAATTCCTCAAAGTTCTGAAATTATGATTCAGCTTTAGACTCCTAATTTTTTTCTCCAGGAGATCAATGCACCTGATAATGTGAAGCCCCTGGTTGAAAAGAAAGGCTGGAGGAATTGCGACATTACTCACCACCCTGTTTCTTGATAGCCTCCTGCTGAAATACGAACTCCCCTAAAAACACCTGCGTGGAAGGCTAGTTTCTTGATTGTCACATAAACTTTTACTCTGAAGGGTTAACTTGACCGGCATTTTTTGCGTAGAGGTGCGGCATCGCTTCATTGAAATTATCAAATTTTTCAGGGTGAACCTCCCACCACTCCACTGCCCTGGAACTTAACACTTATGTGGCTCACTCAATTTTATTGTTCTTATTCAACCACATGACAGGACAGCCCTGCTGGTGGACAAACAAATTTTGTTGCAGTATTTGCATGAATAAACAGTTTAGTTTCCAGAGGAGGAAACTGCGTTTTTTCTTGACAACCAACACGTCTGCCGGACGTCAGCTGAATAAAACTTAGGCCTTTACATGAAGGTGGGGAACCCTGGGTAGGTGAGGTAACATGTGGCGGGCCACTCCACCTATCATGTAAATGTGATCATATTAAAATGAGAGATTATATGGACAGGCGGGTTACCTCATTTACCTGGGGAAAAAAAATGAAAACTCTAAATATACTACCAAAAAACTGAGATATAAAATCTGTGTAGCGTCTTGTCAGTCTTTAGCCTATCACGCAGACGTTAGGATCGCGTGACGAACGCCTAAGAACGTCTGCGTGGGAGGCTAGTCAGTCTTGTGACGTAATACCAACGTAGTTGTCCCATTGACTGCCTTCCAGGGCGTAAGGAGCTAGCTCCTTACGCCCTGCTGCCCTCTTACACCAGGACTTGCGTTATCCCCGATGAAGATTGCATGACCTTGCATGCCACAACCTCAGTATACTTACCGGNTAGGCAACAAAGCAGTTATAATTACTAAAATTGCTGTTTAGAAATTCCCACGAGTAACCAGGATGAGTAAAATATAAAATAATTCCATTATGTTTTAGAACAAAGTTAGTTACCCATTCCCAATCTCCTCCCAACTTCATAGTTTCTACTGTAAAGTACATTCTTCAAACAATCTGAAGATTCGGTGATAGTGTAGCCTGTGTATAGACATCCCCCCTCCCTCCGTGAGGGAGTTCTGAGGGAGGGGGGATGTCTGTACACAGGCTAGTGGTAGTGCCCACTTATCCCAGCTGAGTAGTAGTTCTGCATAAAAAGTAGAAACCATTCGGCATGGGATTTTGGGGGGGTTAATTTTTGGTCCGGGGATTTTTGGGGGATTTGAATTTTGCCCCCATTTGATCATCCCCATCACTTGAAATCCAGAGTACCCCCCTGGGTCCTTTGCCTACTTTGTGTCAAGCTCTATACTTTGTCCCTGTTGTCCACAAACATTTAAGAAATCCCCCACTTTATTTTGAAAAATAGTGAACAAAAAAATTCAGTCAAATTTCGCTTTTCTATAATCCTTAAAGTTCTGAAATTATGATCCAGCTTTTTTTCTCTAGGAGATCAATGCACCTGATAATGTGAAGCCCCTGGTTGAAAAGAAAGGCTGGAGGAATTGCGACATTACTCACCACCCTGTTTCTTGATAGCCTTCCGCTGAAATACGAACTCCCCTAAAAACACCTGCGTGGAAGGCTAGTTTCTTGATTGTCACATAAACTTTTACTCTGAAGTGTTAACTTGACAGGCATTTTTTGCGTAGAGGTACGGCGTCGCTTCATTGAAATTATCAAATTTTTCAGGGTGAACCTCCCACCACTCCACTGCCCTGGAGCTTAACACTTATATGGCTCACTCAATGTTATTGTTCTTATTCAACCACATGACAGGACAGCCCTGCTGGTGGACAAACAAATTTTGTTGCAGTATTTGCATGAATAAACAGTTTAGTTTCCAGAGGAGGAAATTGCGTTTTTTCTTGACAACCAACACGTCTGCCTGACGTCAGCTGAATAAAACTTAGCCCTTTACATGAAGGTGGGGAACCCTGGGTAGGTGAGGTAACATGTGGCGGGCCACTCCACCTATCATGTAAACGTGATCATATTAAAATGAGAGATTATGTGGACAGGTGGGTTACCTCATTTACAATTTTCAATTTTTTACCAAAAAAATGAAAACTCTAAATATTCTACCAAAAAACTGAGATATAAAATCTGTGTAGCGTCTTGTCAGTCTTTAGCCTATCACGCAGACGTTAGGATCGCGTGACGAACCCCTAAGAACGTCTGCGTGGGAGGCTAGTCAGTCTTGTGACGTAATACCAACGTAGTTGTCCCACTGACTGCCTTCCAGGGCGTAAGGAGCTAGCTCCTTACGCCCTGCTACCTTCTGACACCAGGACTTGCGTTATCCCCGATGAAGATTGCATGACCTTGCATGCCACAACCTCAGTATACTTACCGGATCGAAACTGGACAAGATAGCGTGCTAAATAAGCATTTTTCCTTTTTTATTTTCTCCCAACTAGCTTTACTGTCAAACTCAGAAAACCGTGAGCGGTTGAAAAATTTAAGGAATGTTTATTGCGTAGTGACCAATCACAATTATGAAGTTCAGGACATGGAGCAAACCACAAACTACTGTTGCTGCTTCATTTAGGTTTCTCACACCTTATTGGCTCTCTCTTCGCAACACAATGACATTCCATGAATATTTCTGGTGTTCACGGTTTTGCGAGTTTCACAGTAATAATATCAAAGCCCTGAAGCCGTTTTAAATTCGCATTTAGTTTGAGGTATTTTTAGAGGGGTAAAGTTATTTGTAACTAGTAATAGAAAAATTTCTGCCGAGTTTGCACAGCCGGGTGTTAATTCTTGAGGAGTTGGGGGAAATTATTCTCGAAAGTGGTGCAAGCCCTAAATAACTGTCTCGAATTCTCCCAACACCTCGATCTAGCTCGTGCTTACATTCATGTCAGACTACATATATGCAAAAAAGGAACGAGTTTTGTATTCACTCTTTTCACCGAGACGATAATGCACCTTGATTACCCCAAAAATTTTACATAACCATTGTTTCCAATTTCTGCTGGGTATTACTATCGTTCCAAGAGAAAATTGACGTCAATAGTTATCACAGACTACGAGTAGTCTCCCATTTTTCCTCAGAGATAGTAAAGTGAGCGAAACGCGAACGCGCGTGAAAGTCTCGCGTGGGGTGATTTTCACGAGCGCTCACGTTTCGCTCGCTCTACTATCCCTGAGGAAAAATGGGGGACTACTCGTAGGTTATAGTTATTAGTCCGGAATATCCCTAAGGGACGGACCATTAGAAAACTTATCGGGGGGGGGGGGGGGGCGGGGGAAAT